AAGAGTTGAATAACAAAGGTGAACAAAAACTTGGATAGTTGTGTTACTAAAGGGAAATAACTGAGACTGAGATATCCAGAAAAGGCATGGCATGTGGAACTAGAAATATCTACCCCGGTGGAGTAAATAAAGGGTTCAATTTGAAATTACAACATATATCACCTAAAGAAGGCCGGAGCATACAACAGCTGGAGTGTACAATGGCTGAAACATGGTGAATATGACAACAAAGATGAGGGCAACAGTCCGAACAGTGTAAATAGTATGAATTATGTATTTTTTTAAGAAATGGAACACTTTATTTAATCTACGGGGATAGATTATTCTTGTTCTGCTGTCTATGTTTAGGGATATCTCATCTGGTTTTTATTTAGTGCTACACAGTTATTGCTTGTCCTGTTTCCATTGATTCATAGTTTCTACGACCTGGCTCAGGGATTGAACTCGCAATTAGTATATCACCAAATTCACAACCTACTTCCTTTAATCCACTTGGCCTATTGTCTCATGGGATTAAGATTAAATAAAATGTTTGGTACAAAATTCCCTGAGGGTTGTTACCCTGATTGACAGACACCTGAAGAATGCCAGAGAACACAACAGCTGAAATATTGTGGGTAATAACAACAAAGATTGGTCCAAATATGTAATTTTTTACAAATTGAACCCATTATTTAATCTATAGAGAGAGATTGTTCTAATTATGCTGTTCATGCCCAGGATTATCTCATCATGTTCATTTTTAGTACCACACAGTTATTGTTTCCCCTGAGTCAGAATTTGTATTATTCAACCCTGAGATAAAATTCATAATTTCTATGCTACCAAATTTATGAATCAACACTTTAGTCCTCTAGGATATTGTGAGTTCAATCCTTGAGTTTGGTAGTGTAGACTTAGATTCAATGGAAATATGGCAAGCAATAACCAAGCAGTACTAATAAAGAACAAGATAAGCTATCCTTAGAGATGGAGATAAGAAAGAGAACAATCTAATCCCATAGATTAAATAATAAGCTCAGTACAAAATGCTTTGGAAGTTATTTACACCATTTACATTATTCGTACTATTACCCTCATCTTTTTTGTCATATTCCACTGGGGTAGATTGTTCTAGTTCCACGTGCCATGCTTGTTCTGGTTGTCTCAGTTTCAGTTATTTCTCTTTAGTAACTCAACTATCCAAGTTTTTTGTTCACCTTAACTGTAGCCAGGTATTGGACTCATAACTCTTTTGGTCAAGTCACTGAATTACTTCAGTCAACGATTTTATTTCAACGTATATCACCTGAAGAAGGCCGGAGCGTACAACAGTCGAAACGTCGAAAATAGTCCGAAAAATGTAAATAGTGTTTTGTTTGTGCTAATAAATAAATCATAAATATATTAGTTTTTAATTCTTTTTTTAATCATCATAATTTAAGCGTGCCTTCTATGAAAAAAAAAAACAAAAAAAACAAACAAACAAAAAACTGTTTTACAACAAGATAGTTTTCTCAAGTAAAGTAATTGTTATCGACCTTTCCAGTATTGATGGCAGTTTCCTTCCTAACCTTTTGTTTGAAGTACTATGGAATGTCAACATCTTGCTTATGTCATTATTTTCTCTAAGATTTAAACGTGCTATATATTTTGATTGTTGTTGCTGTTAAAAGTCAAATCCCCAAGTTATGTGGTTTCTGTTATTTGGTAAAGGTCTTTGTGATTCTGTTGCGCCAGTCAATAAAGTTCGAATAATTAAGGGCCTTGCTAAGTCCTACAGAAGCCATTTTAACCATTTATCTGAGAAAGCAGTTGTATACAGCTGACAGCTTAGATATTTGTGAACGATTTTGATGTCATGCGTGTCATCCATATGAAAGTCTTGATCTGACGAGGCTATTTAACAGGATTCGGGTTTTTAGGTTAATGGTTTGGTTTTGTAGCAATTTGTGGTGTTATACGAAACTATCCGTATCACCAGAACCCAGTGATAACCTCCTACATATTTACTTTATAATAATCTGCTATACAGATCAATTTCGCAAGAATTATAAACCATTATTGCTTTGTAGTATGCGTCTCGACCCAGGTGATCCCAGAATCTACTTTGCGCTCGATGTGACGTCAGAATAGCTAGGTGCATCGATGTGTTGACGTAGAGGATGCCATCCTAGTCACCAAGTGCAGATCCGCGCCTTACAGGATATCAGTCGTTGAACCAGACAGATCCACGTGATCGACTCAGCTATGACTTGGGTGTGCGTATGTAGGGGAAAAACTGTATGACAGGTCGATTTATAAGCAGCCACCCCAGTATTTGTGTCTAATACATCCTACATTCTAATGTAGAGTCAACGTTCGAAGAAGGTCCCCAAAGCCACACACGCAATGGCCGACGGTGATTGCTGAAGCCCTGTGTGAAATAAACATTAATGTCACCAATGAGAGATTAAGATTAAGACTAATGTTCTCATTAAAATGTACAATACTATTTCGTTACAGTTTCTTTGATAAAAACAAAATTTATGTTACTTGACGCCACCCATTAGATAAGGTAAGCTCTTTGACGCAACACAATTCTCCTGTTAAGAAAGGTATATATTCTTAGAAGAAAAGAACATTGTAAACTCTAAGTACTTTTATTATCTTTGCATTTTTTCTCGTGTTTCAATGCTTGCAAGAAACAGCCAACCATGCACGCACCACGTGACAAGTGACATGCGTAGAAAAAACAGACGGCATTTCTGAATTCGGAAGAAAGGCAATCATAGTTTACGCTTAAAGCAAAGTGGCCAGAACTTGTTATAGCAGTCGAACCCGCATTAATACTTACGGTCATAGGATAAGTTGTAAAACGGGAGCCCCTACCCACAATATTCAGTGGGGTCCAGTTTACTTACCGTTTGATAATAACGGCGGCTATAAGGGCCATGAGAGCCAGGAGCAGCGTGATTAGTATTACTGTCAAGATCACGTACCAGTTGGTTTTGGCCCAGTTCTGAAAATGAAAGAAAGAAAGAAGAGAAGAAAGAATGAAAAAGTGAAGAGCAAAAGAAAGAAAAAGAGAAAAAAGAACAAATAGAAAAGAGAAGGTAAAAAGAAAGAAAAACGAAAAAAATTCAGAAAGAATAGGAAAAAAAAAAGGAAAAAAAAGGGAGAAGAGAATAAAGAAAGAAAAAAGAAAGAAAAAGAGAAGAGGAAAAAGAGAAAAGAAAGAAAGAGAATGAAAAAAGAAGAGAAAATAAAAGAGAATAGAGTTAAGAAAAAGGGAAAGAAAATGAACGGAAAAAGAAAGAGAATCAAGGAAGAAAAAAGAGAAAAAGAAAATAAGAGAAAAGAAAAGAAAAAAATTGTAAAAAATGAAGCAAAAGAAGAAAAACAAAAAATGTAGCCGATAAAAGAGAAGAAAAAGAAAGAAAAATGAAAGAAAGACAGAAGAGAGAAGAGAATGAAAAATGAAGAGATAAAGAAAGAAAAAAAAGGAAAAAACTAAAAATAGAAAAGATGAAAAGAGAAAGAGAAGGAAAAGGAAAAAGAAAGAAAAAAGAGAAAGAATTGAAAGCAAAAGAAAGAAGAGAGAAAAGAAAAACAAAGGGGTAAAATGGAAAAGAAAAAAGAGAAGAAAAAAGAAAAGAAAAGAAAGCAGGAAATATAATTAAAGTAGTAAGAAAACGAGCAATATATACAAAATATCCGAGGGTAATACCAAAAATTCTAGGGACTTTCCTCGGAATGATTTTATAGCAAAGTATAGTCTTTAATATACATCGATTTATTCAAAACTATTGCTCTTAGCTTGGTCCTTTTACAGATTACAAATACAACATTTCGACCATTTGTAAAGACAAAATGAAGAAACTAAGTATTTCTGGGACCGTTTTCTTATATATATATATATATATATTTTAGATCGAATTAAATTGCTTGACTTTAGAAGAATACTAAATGGAATGGTCATTTTCTAATCGTAGCTTAGATGTGACGCAAGGCCGATAGTATGGGCTACCCAGTGAGGATCGTTTTCACTACATAAACGTAATTGATTTTGGGAAACAAAGCTTGCTAAACAGTACACCACGTCGCGATGCCCAGAAGAGATTTCCTAAACGTAGCTTAGATGTGGCACAAGGCCGAAAATATGGGGCATCCAGTAAGGATCGAAAAACTTATTCAGTAGTAATTACTTTAGAGAAACAAGCTTGTTGGCCATTACACCACGCTGAAATGCCCACAAAATGCTAAATGAAATCTACCCTCGAGTCTTATTTATACGTAACAATAATATCCCTGGGAAAAATATAAATTCTATTACAATCATTTTTATAACATTTATTGTTTTTTGTAACATTTATTGTTTTATAGCATTTATTATTTTTATAAAATTTATTAATTTTTAGCATTTATTATTTTTAAAACATTTATTATTTTGAAAGCATTTATTATTTTTATAAAATTTATTACTTTTTATAGAATTTATTTTTATAGCATTTATTATTTTTTTATAGCATTTATTATTTTTTTTAACATTTGTTATTTTTTATAGCATTTATTATTTTTTGTAAAATTTATTATTTTTATAGCATTCATTATTTTTGTAGCATTTATTATTTTTATGACATTTATTATTTTTATATCATTTATTATTTTTATATCAATTATTATTTTTATAACATTATTTCTATAGCATCTATTATTTTATAACATTTATTATTTTTATAGTTTTTATTATTTTTATAGCGTTTATTATTTTATAACATTATTTCTATAGCATTTATCATTTTTATAGCATTTATTATTTTTATAGCATTTATTATTTTTTATAACATTTATTATTTTTATAGCATTTATTATTTTTATAACATTATTTCTATAGCATTTATTATTTTTTATAGCATTTATTAATTTTTATAGCATTTATTATTTTTTATAACATTTATTATTTTTTTTATAACGTTTATTATTTTTTATTAGATTTATTATTCTATTTGCTGGCGAATTGACAGAAACGGAATGCCTCATTAACTTACAATTGTCGGAGCATTTTCCGGGTCTGAGCTGTGAGCTTGTTGCTTAATTTCTCCTTCATATATCGGATATGTCATGCCACGTTTGACGGCATAATAAGGTATAGAGAGCCATGTACTGTTGAGATTTTCGAGTTTGGGTTTGTCTTCCAGATTTTCGGTAGAGGCAGTGGCCAGCACATGAACCAATTCCACCCTGAAATAGATAAATGCAAATAATACTAGTAAATATGTCAACGCGATCGATTGCTTTCGAAAGGACGGTTTTCTACGTTCGACAGAAATATGAATGAGAAAAGAAAGTGCATACTCTCATCTTTAGTGAATATCTATGCAGATATTGCAAAGATATATGGAGGACAAAACACTATGAAAGTGTAAAATAGATTTTAATATCAGCAATAGACTTTTGGAACAAATTACCAGGTATAAATTTTTGAAAAATAAAAATATTATCAGCAATATATTTAAAAAAATATTACCAGCAATTAAAATCTTGTCGGCATTAAATAACCCATCGAGGTTGATATTATTTCTATAGCATTTACTATTTTTTATAGCATTTATTATTTTTTATAGCATTTATCATTTTTTATAGCATTTATTATTTTTTATAACATTTATTATTTTTTATTAGATTTATTATTCCATTTGCTGATGAATTGACAGAAACAGAATGCCTAATTAACTTACAATTGTCGGAGAACATGAATGGAAAATACGAAAAATTAAAGAATCGGTACATATGTTAGGCCACAAAAATCTTCTAACTCGACCAAGCATAGATATTAATACAACATAACGGAGTGCTATATAAAAAAAATAATAAATGCTATAAAAATAATAAATGCTATAGAAATAATGTTATGAAAATAATAAATGATATGAAAATAATAAATGTTATAAAAAATAATAAATGCTATAAAAAATAATAAATGCTATAGAAACAAAACAAACCAAACCAAAGTAAATGTTTGTATCATCAGCATAGATACCAAGATTTTAACTCTCTTTGTTCTGTGTTGAGTCATATTTAGGCATTATGGATACGCCTCGGAGATCGTGACCACGTGGCGGCAAGGCACCGTGCTGATGTGAGCCATCACCCTGACCTTTAAACCACCACCGTCACCCTTGTGGCCACCGCTGATGCTTCCCTCCAACTCTCCAGGATATGCAGATAATCTTACATGCTTACAGTAATAACGCATTGCAAGAGAAAAAGCAGAAAACATTTTATAAAAAGAAAACTACCACTCGAACATAAAAAAACATAGACTTTTAACATTAATATTATTTAGTTTCAGTTTTTTTTATATCATTTTACCCAAAGCAAGACAATAAAATCACTATGAGTGTGAAATATATGAGAAAATATGAAGAGAGGACAATAAAAGAACAAGAATTAAGAAGACAGAAGATAACGATTGACATTGCACTTAAATTTTTGAAGATCAAATTTGATTGGGAAGCAAGAAGCCGGAAGAGAATTCCACAAGTAAGAAGTGCGAGAAAAGAAACTGTTAGCATAGAACTTACGGTTAAATCTAGCCATCTCATCTATAAAATGATGAGACCTTACTGACAATCTAGTATTGCGCTTAAATTCATAACCTCTAGGTACCATAGAGGAAATTTCATCCGAACAATTACCATGAAAGTATTTATAGAAAAGGCACAGGGAAGCTACATTACGGCGGTTGGAAAGTGACTAAAGCCGGGATGCCCAGTCAGGACCAATAACATTTCAGATTCTTCTTTGGATTTTTATGAAGAATCTCTCTATAACTATGTAACAGGAGCAGGTCATATCTGGCAGCGATATTCAAAGTAACGTCGAATAGTAGACTTATCAATATGTAAGATAGTTTCAGGCGGGAAAGATTGTCCAGTTATTAACCGTCCTAGCAGCAGACCTAGAAAATGATTCACTATAATCTTACCACTTTATGTTAACGGAAAACGTTCGTCAGAGAAGGCGTAATGAGTCACTATCCATGCTGATGTAAGATAAAAAAGGGTTCTCTCAGGCGATTAATAGAGAGCAGTTTTGGTGTGTGTGTAGGGGAGTAAATTTAACAAGCCATTCCTTGGCCCAGTTAACAACAGAATGTAGATCATAGTATCAGATCAGCTGCCAATTTGACCTTATGGAAACATTTACTCCTATCTTAATTGTAAGTCTGATCAGACAATTAAGATAGGAGTAAATGTTTGTGTCATCAGCATAGATACCAAGATTTTAACTCTCTTTGTTCTGTGTTGAGTCATATTTAGGCATTATGGATAAACGGGTATCGATGAATGACGCTGGTACCTTGTTACGCTTATTACTTTTAGAATAGCGGTAATAACTATTTACATTATTTATATTGTTCCGACTATTGTTCTCGTCTTTATTGTAATAACTTGCTTTGGTAAGAAACATAAAGGAGAAACAGGCCGCCCCCTTAAGGTCAGACTGCAAGAAAATCATAAAAGAGGGGAAATAGAAAAATCAGGCGTAGCTGACCACATATGAAGAGAGATCGCCGCCCCCAGCGCCCCTGTAGAATGAGGTTGAAATAATAGACAGAGAACATGACGGGAAAATACGAAAAATTAAGGAATCAGCACATATGTTAAGTCACAAAAATCTCCTAAGACGACCAAGCATAGCGATTAATACAATATAACAGAGTGCTAGAGAAAAGGAATAATAAGAAAATTGCAATATGAGCTCTGGTAAACAAACGTTTACTGAGAAATTCAAGTTTATAAAAATTCATACACTTATGTCCTCAACGACACATGGCCTAGTGGATAAAGTGTTGGTTGAATCGAGTGACTTGACCCAAAGAGCTGTGAGTTCAATGAGGTGAACAAAAACTTGAGTTGAGTTAAAGGGAGATAACTGATACTGAGATATTCGGAAGAGGCATGGCACGTGGAACTGGAACAATCTGCCCCGGGGGACGAAGTGAAATTCCAATCACCTGAAGAAGGCCGGATCGTACAACAGCCGAAACGTCGTGAATATGGCAATACAGATGAGGACAACAGTCCGAACAATGTAAATAGTTACAATACCTCACCTCAAAAATATAGACAGAGAGTAGTAATAACAATAATAATAATAATAATAATAATAATAATACACCAGTGACGGTGACTGAGAAAGACCAAGACAAGATCTTGTGTGATTTTACCATCGATGAATACCATATTCCTGAGGTTACCAGACCAGACACCATTGTTATTAAAAAAAAAAATAAATGAAAATGACTCCTCATCGACGTGCATGTTCCTTCTGACTATAAAATCAAGGTTAAAGAAATTGACAAGGTCGAGAAATACACTGACCTCAGGATTGAAGTTGGCAGTATGTGTGAGATTCAACCCATTACTGTCTCAGTTTCCATCGAGGTGTTGGGGTCTATGCCACTGAAGTTCTACATTGAGAAAATCGGAAGAAAGCCTAATTTCTCATCGCTTTTTCACATGGCAGTCCCTTCAGATTGTAATGTATCTTCAAATATCTCGCGAAAGGTGCTCTCTTTTTGTGGTTGCACAACTTGATGGAGAACACACATCCTGTAAGATCTCTGGTTGAAAACGAAAACTGTGCCAATAATAATAATAATAATAATAAACTACAACGAACGAACTGGGAGCATATCTCACAAAAACCAATGACCTTCTCCTACAAACAGGAAAACATTAAATCCACTCCATCAACAAGGAAGGTGCATTCTTTAAGAAAAAGTTTAGTAAACCTGAAAGCCTACTAACAAAAACCACTCCCACCAAAAAAAAAAAAAAAAAAACCACTCCCACCAAAAAAAACAAAACAAAAACGAAGCGAATACCATGTACACCAAACGAGTAAGACAGAAAGCAAAACAACTTGGCCAAATTCATTTACAAAAAAATAAAAAAAATAAAAAGTAAAAACATAAAAAAAAAAAATGGGATTACAAGGCATTGCATGGCAAATACTTAAAAAGAAGCAGTTATGGACTAACAGAAAACACATCAGTGGCTGAGAAGCACCGGGTTAAAAAGCTGAAGCAGAAGGCCTAATTATTGCAGCTCAGGGCGAAAACCTCGCAACCAGATCCTATCACTGTCACATAATCAAGGAGGGAACTAACCCGAAATGCAGGATCTGCAGAAAATATGACGAAACTGTCAACCATATTATCTCAGGATTTCCGGAACTAGCAAAAAAAATGAATATACCTACAGATATAACAAGGTAGAGACATATGTCCACTGGAAGATATGCAAGAAGTACAAAATCGAAACCACTGAGAGATGGTGTGAGCACCAACCAGACACAGTTACCCAAAATAACGTTATACCTATCCTCTGGGACTTACCAATTCAAACCGACAGGGAAATAAAAGCCAACCGATCTGATATCATAAAAGACAAGAAATTCAAGAACTGTATGCTTATTGACATAGAAGTACCATTTGAGAGAACACCCCCATAACATTATCGAGAAATTGTCCAAATACAAGGACATGGGGATCGAGATTAACACGATGTGGGGAATGTAAACTGAGACTGTACCAATAGCAATCGGAGTTCTGTGAGAAAAGGAATGGACAATTTTGATAACAGTGTCCCAGGTAACATCAACATACAAGTTTCCCAGAAGATCGCCCTAATAGGAACATCCCATATACTAAGTGCTATCAATTAAATGACGATTCTCCTATAGGGTCTAAGGACCATACTTTGGATTCGGCTCTACAGGATACAAAGCAGGTACCATAACATACGCAAATAATAATAATAATAATAATAATAATAATAAGCTTCCTTTTTCATGTGTCAGTCCCTGCAGATTGTAATGTATCTTTGAAGATCTTCAAAAAACTATCGAAATACGAGGATCTTGAAGTGGAAATTAAAAAAGAAGTGGCACATGAGACATCAATAATTCCAGTAGTAGTTGGAGCCCCCGGATTGATTGTAAAAGATTCCAATAGACTCATTGAAAGAATTCCTGGTAGCCCATGCCTTAAAGAAATACAAAATTTTAACTCACAAGTACAGCGCACATATTATTACGAAGAGTTTTATCTAAATAAAATATGTATGATAAGCTTTTTGTTTTGTTTCCACAAAAATGATCAGTGGGAAATGTCACGAAGCTCTTCCTGAACTTAGGTCTCTAGTTGGGACCCGGAAGGAAATGTCTGTACA